GTATATATATATATATATATATATATATTTTTTTTTTCATTTGTAGTTAACAAAAACTGTACAAATAAAAATAATGCTAGTAGTAAATAATTATAGTAGTTATAAAAATGTACCGTGTCCAAACGTGTCTGGACGTGCATTGTCTTGCGGTTTCCTCTAAAATGTAAACACTCAGTGATCAAAGACAAAAAGTAAACAAGAATTATTAAAAATTTTCCTTTCTGTAGATTATCTGTTTTCCTAACCTTTTTAATGATAAAGTCTCTTTAGGAAAAATTTTCTCTACTTTTCTACAATTCTCAAATACAGATATAAATAGCATATAACATTATATATCTGTATTTATTAAGTTAGTTAAAATTAATTTTATGACGTGTTTTATATTGAAATTATAATCTGTCAAATCTGTCTTCTTATTTGTAATTTCTATTTTTTTATTTTATTAGATTTGAAAATTAAAATGCAGCAAGTGAAAGATTTGTCAGTTCACGAATTAGGACAAAAAATTGAGGAACTTACAGATGCAGAAACACGACATATTTTAATGGTAAGTGTCATCAGTTTATAATATATTTTATAATTAAAATATAGTTTACATTGTGCTCTCATTATATATATATTTCAGATATTTAAAAATATAATCTGAATATAAATAATAAATAATGAAGCTAAATTGCTTTATGTGTAATAATGTTGTTAAAGGAGGGTTAGACGGTTTAAATCAACACTTTCAAACAAAACATGGTCTAACAATTAAACGAGGATTACAAAAAGGTGGATTTGAATGCGGTCAAAATAAATGTTGTAGGAGATTTCATAATTTCTTCTCTTTAAGGCAGCATATTAGAAAAATCATTTTTCTAAAGAAAAGAATGATTGTGATTTTTCAATTACAAGTACAGATTCTATTTTTTATCTGATGATGATATGATTATTGATCAAAATAATATAAATAATACTGACAAATATATTGAAAAGAAAAATGAAGAGGTCCTACAATTTTCTGATAATTTTAATTTAAGAGACTCTATAATAAGAATGATAATTAGGCTTCATTCAAAAGGAACTGCAACTGGAAGCATTATAAATGAAATTCTTGATGAATATGCAGAAATTACAAATAGTTTATGTAAATCATTACAAAGTAAAGTTAAACAATTTATAGAATCTAGACAAATTCTTGATGATTCTGATGTTAGTGATTTGTTAGATTCTTTTGAAATAAGTAAATCTTTCGAAGGATTGAGAACTGTTGAACAACAAATGGAAGCTTTAAAATCTAGTACAGAATATATTGAACCTCAAGAAATACCTTTGGGTACACGTATTAATAATATAATGGATAGAAAAACAGGCACTTTCATACCAAAAAAAATTGTAGAAACTTGCCAATATGTTCCTATTATTGATTCTTTGTCAATGGTACTTAGAAACAAAGAAATACGCGATGCAATAGAAGCAGAAAGAGAATCAAATAATGATATTCTTGCTTCCTTTATTGATGGACAGCACTTCAAAAATCACACTTTTTTTCAAAAATACAAGCATGCAATTAGACTTCAATTATATTATGATGAACTAGAAATCACTAATCCACTAGGCTCAAAAACATGCATTCATAAATTAGGAGCTTTCTATTATACTATACAAAATCTTCCATTTCATATGAATTCTGAGCTTAGTAGCATTCATGTCCTGCTTCTTTGTTGTCATGTTGACATAAAAAAATATACAATGAAGAAGATATTGAGTCCTTTTCTTAAAGATCTTGCAAAATTGGAAAGTGATGAAGGAGTTCCTATATTTTTTAGAAGAAAAAAAATATACTTTGCGTGCATCATTAGCTGCATTTTGTGGAGATGGATTGGCTGTACATGAAGTATTCAATTTTCTGAGTCCATCCTCTAATTTATTTTGTCGAATGTGCCTTTATAATAGAGAGGATTTACATAACGGAAATATAGAAATGAAACAACAAAGGACTGTAGAAATTTACAACGAGCACTTAAATTTATTACAGAATGCTAATTATAATAATAATGTTAAAACTTTAACGGGAATGCATGGAGAATGTTGTTTGCATTCATCTCGTTTTTTCCATATATGTAGAAATAATATTTTTGATCCAATGCACGATATACTTTGTGGTATTGGACCAATGATATTAAAGTTAGTTTTAGTTCATTATGTTATAGAATTAAAATTTTTTAAAATAGAAGATTTCAATGATAGATTAATATCATTTCAATATGGCTTTGTAGAAAGAAAAAACAAGCCTTCAGCAAATTTTAATGAAAGAATATTGAATCAAAAGGGGAATACTTTAAATCAAAAAGCTATGCAAATATGGTGTCTTCTTCGTGCTTTTCCTTTTTTAATTTCTGATTTGGTTCCAAAAACAGATGAGCATTTGCAACTAATTCTTCTTTTGCTAAGAATTATGGAAATAGTATTTGCACCAAAAGTTGCAGTTTCTCTCATATCTTATTTGAAAGCTCTTATCACTGATTTTCTACAGAAATTTAAGAAATTGTTTCCTACTGTAAATATGATCAATAAATTCCATCATTTAATGCATTATCCACGTTGTATCTTGTGGTCAGGACCTCTTCAGTTGTATAACTGTATGCGTTATGAAGCTAAACATAACGAAATCAAAGTAAGAGCTCAAGTTGTTAACAATTTTTAAAAATCCACCTAAAACATTAATAAGAATTGCTCAGTGCTCTGAAAGTAATCGATGGGGAAGAAGAGATGCAACAATTTTTCGAGTTGAAACATATAGTGGAGAAACAGTTAATGTGCAAGATTGCAAAAGCCGTATATATTTACATACTCTAGGATATATTGATGACGACTCTGTATTTAACACTAATGCTGTAAAAGTTAATGGTGTTGAGTTTAAACTTAATTTATTAGTATGCCTTGAAGTTGATAAGAAAAGAGAAGATAATCTACCACTTTTTGGCCGTATAGATGAAATATTAATATTAGAAAAGAATGAAGTATATTTTTTTACCACTTTATGTAAAACTCATTTATTTGATACTGATTTTAATGCCTATCATATTGATTTGGAAATGGATGAAGTTTCGTATCTTTTCATAAATTGTCTTAATCTTGGGCATTATAAACCATTTTCTATTTGGTCTGAACCAGCATCTAATCGCTCTTACATTAGTCTACGCCATATATTATAACTAATGTATTTTTTCTTTGCATTTCGTCACTACAGAAAATGTAAGACATTCTTTATTACTTGTAAGTACATTTATTAGATAGAAATTTTATTATATTATATACTGATCTTTATGTATGAATAGTTTGTAAATATTTTGTATAAAAAATATTTATGAATAATATAATTTTTTATGTCTAATCTCTCTCTATATATTCTAAATTGCTCTTATTGCGTTTTTATTAATAATTTATATTTTTATTAATATAAATAAATTTTTATAAATTTTTAGATGAAAAAATCGAAGGTTCTTCTTTTCTTTTACTTAATGAAAATGATTTAAAAAGTATGGGATTGAAGATGGGTCCAGTAAAAAAAATTTTTAAATTTATCCAAGATTGTTCTTCTTCTCAGGTAATGTTTTTTATAATTATTCGTATATATTTTATTACTATTTTAATTTTTTTATAATTTTATAAGCAGATACAACCATCTCAAGTAGATGGAACATATGAAGTAGCAGAAAATGGAGAAATAATATTCTCTTCAGATTTGCCTATGGAATTAGGAACTTCTATAAAAATGAATGTTGAAAGTCCATCTTCCAGTAGTAATGCTTCTTCATCTATATCAGCTATTTCTAGTAAAAATAAGGAATCTACAATATCCAAAAATAATTTTTCGGTAAAAGCAATTATGTTTTTGTAACAAGAAAAGGAGTGTAGAATATACTAATAAAAAATTATATATTTTAATTCAGCGTTTCAAAACAATTCATGAGACTCTTTTGAAGCATCCTCAAGGTACTAACATTTTGAAAGCCATAAATGGCATATTCACAGAAGATGATAGACGAAGCCTCGTGAGGATTTTAACATCCGAGTTAGTAAAAGTTCATGGAGATAATTAGTAAGTTGATTTCTGAGGAATTTTTATTATAATTTGTATTTAAATTTGCATCTTTACGCAGTTGTTCTATAATTATTGTATTTTAGTTATCCACCTGAAGAAGCTAAAATAGCCCTCGCTGAAAATATCGTAAAAGAATTTCCAAAATTACGAGACTATGAAGCAAAAAAAAGGACATGTAAGAAATTATCAAAATGTTTTTTAAAATATTTAATTAAAATGAATTAATCATTGTTTTTTACAATTTTAAGGAACTTTATTATGATTCAGTTACAAAGAGAGGCTTCATTGAATATCGTCTTTGGACGATGAGAAAACATATTTCACCTACCAAGAAAAAATATATTCAGGCAGCAATGAAAAGACGAAATGTAAATAAAATATTGTTTCTGAAGAAAATTCAGATGAGGAACATAATGGTTTACTTCCTGAAAATTTGTATAAAGAAAAGGTATGTAGCAACAAATAAAAAATTTAATTTTTTTTATCAAATTATTATGTAACTTTTTTATATGTTATAATAATTTTTAATATGTTATTGAGAAATAAAAATTACATTGTACAAAAGACATTAATTCTATTATGACATTTTCATTAGATTTCATGGATGAAATTTAAAATGCCGTCAAATGCCAATAAGTCTTCTATATCCGAATGTATGAGTATTACAATGAATAACCGAAGAAAATGGATTATGGAAAATGCCGTTTCAATAGATGAAATATGTGATGAATTTCCTCGATTAACTGATTATTCTGGGGAGATGGTAAATAACATAATGCTTTATCTTTACAGCTTAGTTGTATATTGAAAAAGATATTTTAATTATTTTACAAAAATGTATTTATATTTTTGCAGTTTGATGAGGAATTTGAAAGGTTATATAAAGGAGCTTCTGATAAATTCTTAGCAAGATTTGCCCCTTTATATGTACAAAGAATCCTTATATATTGCAGTACAGCAAGACCAGACTTATTTAAAAAATCAGCTTTTATTCAAGATGGTAAATTTATATTTCATTATAACTCAAGACTCGATACGTGTGGCCATTTTCTTATAGTTTGATTTTGCCTAATACCATTTTTCTTACTTCATTAATCCGCGTATATTCCGAGTGTCAATCGACATATAGATTGCGCGTGGATAGAGATAAAAGGAATAACGCTAAGTATAAACCAAGCTGAAAATCGATTGAAATACAACACGTGCCGAGTCCTGCTGTAATTGAAAATCCTGTTTTCTTTTTTAATTTTAATTTTTTTATAACTTTTAATAGAAATTAAACAATAAAATATTAATTATATATTTATTTTAATTATTATTATTATTATTACAATTTAATTAATAATAATTATATATTCATTTTTTCAATTATATATAATTTTTTATATATTCAGATACTCTTCGTGCCATAACTCTTCTGGCAGATTTACTTCCTGTATCAAATGCTGTTAGGAAAGGAAAAAGAAAAAGAAAAGGAGCAAGCAAAGAAAATTTATCAAAAGGGGTAAACATTTATCTTATTTTTTAAATTTCTTAGTATAGACTGATAATAATCAATATAATAAATATGATTGTTAAAATATATGATTCAAATATTTGGATATTTAATTTCAGAAGAACATTATTGATAAAAGAGAACATGGTGAAATGTATACTGCAACATTTCCAAATCCTTCTTTACTACAGATATGGCCTGTGAGTTTGATTAGTGCATATAAACTTATATATTAATACTTGTGCTAACAAGAAACTCCTTTTTTCAGGAAGGAACAAACATAGAGGCCCAAACTGAGAAACTTAGAAGTGAATCCAAAGGTCCTATTCAGCCCTATATTATTTTAATCAAAGGACAATCTACACAATATTTTATTCAGGCTGATAATCGCACTCTAACTTTGAACAATAACTCGCCTATTATGGCACTTGATTTGTTGTTTAAAACATATTATGTTTTCGATGTGAAGTGTCCAGAAACACTAATTTATTTTTTTAATTTCTTAGAAAACTATTGCTTTAAAATATCCGATAAAGTACAACATGCTTTGGTTTCTTCTGTTCATATTAATATTTGCAATATAACAGTAGATAATATTGCATAATATATCTATTGTATAATATTCTCATGTTTAATTTTAAATTAACTTTATTTTGCTGACATGTTTTTATAATACTTAATTTAAAGTATCGTGAAACTAAACTTGTTTTTCTATTTTTGATTGCATTCTAGTAATTTTATAAAATTTATTTCATTATCCGATAAAGTGCAATATGTTTGAGTGTCTCTCTCATATTTCTAATATTACATTATATAATATATTGCATAATATATTCTTATTACATTTATATTCTTGTGTTAGTTGTTAATTGGCCTTATTCTATAAACATTTTGTCTTTAATTTTCAATTTATTTGAAACTCTAAACATATTATTTGATTACTTTGAATTACTTTTTATATATAATTAATATATAAAAATTATGTTAATATATAAATTACATTAAATCAACAAATATAAGAATTTTTTTGTTTGAATATCAATCGATTATTTTTTTTCCTTTGTACCACACACCAACATCCAGCAAACACTAACTAATAGTAATAATCTTAATATTATAATTTTCTACTTAACAATGTGTAAAGTAACTCAACACATATACATGTTTTACGTTACAGTTAAATTCTTGAATAGAAAATTATAATATTAAGGTTATTAGTGTTAATTAATATTTTTGCTGGGATATTCACTGATTTGAATAGCTCACATCACTGATTTTATTGTTGAAAATCACTGTTTCTAGTAGTTTAATATTACTGATTTCAGCAGTTAATATTATTAACTATTCCTTTCAGTGATATTTTACTGATTTACAGTGCTATACTTATAACTATTATAATAAGTGACTATTGACTGTTTCCCAGTGATAATACACTGATTCACTTTTAGAGAGTAAGTAGAGTAAAACGTATGTTGTGTCGAACGAGAGAGAATTTTTCCATATTTTCCATTTTCGCGATGAAGCGAAATACGTTGATATTGAATTACTTCCAACGTTGGACAAAGTCTCGAATTCCCAAAATACGCATGACGACACTAATTGACGGAGATTCAATTTTCATTCGATCGTCGCAAAATGCGAAATGCCGCCTATAATGTGATATAATGATGTTATATCATAGCGCGCGATGTAACGCTTGCCGCAATGCTAACGTAATAATCATACACCGACCGATTTCGGATTTATGTTCCGCCCGGGCGGACTCTTTACCCAGTATCCGTAACATAGTGTAACAAAATTTCACGAAATATCAAATAAAGCGAGATGCAGAATGACGATTGTAGCTACGCCGCATTAAGCTGTATCGTTTAAGTGAGGAATAAACGTTTAAACGTTAATATCGTTCGACGGTCGAATGATTTCGAATTCCCATCTGTGACCGTACCCGCGATAAATTTTTTTTCGTTGAACGAGCATATCGTTGAAAACATTTAACAGCGATAACATTGTTGCACCGGCGGAGTCCACGTTTATACACTTTGCAATCAACAGCGCTGAATTATACAAGAGGCATCGAAGAATCGCTATAAACAAGTGCACATTACGGCGATTTACATCGCTCGTTGCATTACTTCCGCATGCAGATGAAACGAAGCGAAGCGCAATCGACCAGCATTTTCAAAGGTGCGTTCAAATATTTGTTCTATGCACGACTCGGCATTCTCTCCCTCTTCCGATTTCCAGACGAAATGGCAGCAGCGGCAAACCGATCCGCGAACGAATGTTGTTCGCCCGGATGGTACGCGTCTACCTGCGTGCACGATTTTCGCTCGTATACGTTCTGCGTAGATCGCGAAAAAAATATTCTCGCCCGCAGCGACTCGTGGAATTTTCCGCGCTTCCGTTCTTTACCGTCGTAGAATTTTACGTATGAGTTAAAAGTATTTTTACCGATTGTTATTGTACGAGAAAAGCGCGATTATTAAAGCACCAAAATTGCCGCAAAATACATTCGATTATTTAATTGTTTTTAACTTCTGACAAATCTGCTATTGGTAAGTAAAACAAGTAGAGAATCAAGGACGAATCGTTAAATATTAAAAAATATCCATATTGATAAAATTCCACATTTTTTATTAACTTTTATCATTCATGATATGATTATATATGTATACGTAGAAAATTGTAATTTTATTTTTTTGCGCTTTTAGTTAATAATTTGAACATTATGAAGGGAAATTAAACAGTGTAAAGCACATGTGTGGATACATATGTGCTACGCGTTCCTCACATTCGAATCTCGGTGTTGGTCGAGTCTGGATTAATTCTGAATTTTTCATAAGGACACGATTGAAGCGCGGGTCGCTATTGCGAACGAATCGCCGCAATTTTCACGATGGCGAGCATAGCACTCGCGCGCAAATACAACGTGCGGCGTCCGTTCACAATAAAATTTTCGTCGCACGAACGTTTTTACGGATTGGTAAACCAACGGCGCCCGGTGATTCGTGGGCAATTTATCGGTCCGGTTCGACGAGCAGCGCGGGATGCAGAGCGGTGAACGGGAGGTGTGACAACCGGCGCTCGTAAATTTACAATAATTTCGACGAGAGTGCACACCGACGCTCACGCGGTCGCACAAATGGCTGCAGACATTTCAAATTATCCTTGCTCTAAAATTTCATTTTGGATAACGGTAAACTTACAATCTTACTATCCTTTGTGTCGCTAAAAATTCATTCTTGATCAAGCGTTTGAATGCTCCGCGGAAACTTGGAAATAATAACTTTACCGAGCAAAGAAGCACAAGAAAACAAATTAAAGTTGACAGCATAAGAGAATAAAAAAGATACTCGAGAAACATCAATTACAATTTCTTTATATAATTTTTTAAAATTTCTATAAAAAAATTTGCTTATATATTTTTAAAATTATTTCAAGCTGTAAAAAAATATTTTCAAAAATTTTAAAATAAATTACAGCTCTCTCTTTTCCTTTATACAAAAGACCGTGCAATCAAAAGAATTCTTTGAGATTGAGGAGAAAAGAAAGAAAAAAGAAGCTCGCTCGAATGACATCGAGTGTTTGCCTTCGATTTCTTCGCGCGATTCGCCAAGATCGTTTATCCAAAACGTGCGGCCTCACACCTCCATCGTGTCGTCTTCTCCGCTCTTGGCGTGCGGCAGCGAGCCGATAAATAATTCGCGAAATTCCGCCTGAAATTCCCCGGAGTCACGTTACGGCATCTTGTCCCTTTAAGGAAAAATTTTCATCCCCGCCGGCGACGCACGCGACTATTCGAGGGAGAAAATCGTCCCGCGAGAGAAGCGAGCTCCTCCTTTGTGCTGCGCGAGGACCTTCGTCCTGCCCCTTAAAAGTTTAAAGAGGACAGTCAACATTCTTCGTCTCGCGCCGTCTTTTCGCTTAAATATGCAACAGTGTCGCGCTGCTGGAACCGAGACAAACGATCCGCGAAATTGTTCGAAGTTAAGAGTATGCAAGAGAGAGAGAAAAAAGAATGCCTCGTAGGAACTATATACTTTCTGCCCGAAATAGCATGTATCGTTATTGTGTTTCTTCTCACGTGAAAGCTGCATTAATACTAAAATCACCGATTGAAATTTTTATAAGTTCAATTTTTGAACATGATAAATAATATCATTGTTGAAATAACTTTTTTCTCTTTAAAATAATAAATTTCTAAAAATGCCTTTAAAAAAAATTACTCGCGGCATTTATATTAAGATTGACCTAACATCCACTTTAAAGTGAAGATCATATTAAACAAGATATTTCACCAATTTCCTTTTGAATTTTACGTATCCTTTTATATGCTTTAAAATATCGAATCGAAATCACTCAAAATTAAAATTGCTACTTTCTTTAATGTTGTGTGTTGGATTTTTGTTTAATCGATCTAGAGGAACACGCAAAATCTCCATCGTAATCTCGTTGCGTAGTTTCCAGAAAATATTTGCACGTCACTCGGCTTGCATTATTTATTCTCAGCGTATGCGAACGAGAGCGATCGGCGCGAGCCGACGGAAAGATATTACCGCGATCCCATAAATCTGCTCGGCGGATTGGCTCGACTTGGCGAGGATAGCGCTGCCGTAAGCTTCGTAGTATTCAGTTTTGCCGGGGATTAACCAGCTGCTGGTCGAAGCGCGCGGATGCAGTTTTCCTGGAGCGACGCGCAATTTAGGTGCGACACGACGTCGCACGACGTTTCTCGCAGGACGCAAGAATGTCGTGTTGCGAGCGAGCCGGGAAAATCGGTCGCAGGATTTCGTTGTCCCGCGGGAAACGAGAAAGAGAGATAAAGACAGAGGGGAAAGAGAGAGACGAAGGACGGGGAAAATGATGGAGGGCGTAATCCTGCTTAAGAGGCTTAACTCCGGCGATCCTCGAGTGACCGAAGATAAAAGCGAGTCTTCACGGCGTACTTCCGACGATCGCCTCGGGGGAAAAAAGATATATCGCGTAAACAATGCTTTTCCGCAAGGACGCGGAGATGTTCGTCCGCGTTGAATGACGAAAGAAACGAAGCTTTTCTGCGTCGCCACTTCGCTTTTATCTGTCATCGGACGGAATAAAGCATTCGAGTAGGAGAAATGAATTACATCGATGTTTCGGCACGAATGATTCGCGTCGAATGACACGAGGCAATGAAGACGAATGTAATTCCGCTCGAGATGTTCTGAATTATGCGAGCGCGACCGTTTTCTGGAGACACAGTAGGATAATTCGAGACTTGTTTTCCTCCGCAGCTTCCTCGGAGACTAATTCTAGAGTAGATCGTCGCGCCGGAGTGTCTTCAAATCTGATTAATTGCGTCGTCGCAGCGTCTCACTTTGATCACCGCGATTATTCGGGCGGGCTGAGGATCCTTCCTGCGCTCTAACTTCGTCGATTCGTTTCCTCGCGAATGACACCTCTAGACTTCCACCGGGTAATGCACGAAAATGACGCCCGGCTTGCCTTAATTCGGGATGATCTCCCTTCGCCGTTTCTCATGTAACTAGCATTTATCCTTGATTGAAATCAATAAAGGCTGAACATATAAAAAAGAACCGTAGAATTTTATGCAAGTTTGATGAATAATTGCAATATCTTCGGGCTCTTTGATGTGCACAAATTTCTCGTGATTTCTGGGCATCCATTTTCCTATTGATATTAAAAAATGAAAGAGAATAATGTTCTTTTATATTATTAAATAAGCAATCTTTTCATTTTGTCTTCTATATTTCGCTAAAATATCGCTCTGTCCGTGCGCGATCGCTCTAGCGTTGCGTAATGATTCGCGTAATGTATTTCGACTAATGCCGCATGCATCGAATAACGCCGTAGGCGGATGAGCCCGATGCAATGTTAATGCCGGACGGAATAGGCGTACTAATTAGGGGATATTTCATTAGGACGCGCGTAAATAGCTGGTAAAATCGGTCGTCCCTGAAATTTCGCCCCGTTGGCCGTTTGCAGTTGCTAAATACATATAGGCGCTTGGCTACCTCGTCGCACTTTTGTCTCTTTGAAACTGACCGCCGTTGAAAGCTGAATGTTAATAACCAGAATTTCGAAAAACTGGTAAAAGAGTCACCGCTGTTTTATAAATAATATTATCTGACGTTACACGATAAAATAATTAATCATCTGCATAGTTAAAATTAAGTCTCTGTCTTGCAACGGGCAAAAAACCATGTAGATTAAAGTCCGTCACTTTGAAAAAATTAATGAGTACACGTGACGTCAACACGTTTACAAAGCTGTAGCAAAAATAAAGAATAAAAATTTGTAAAAATTTTTATCATGAGATATGTGAGAAAAATCTGTTCTACCTTGTTTACCTTTGTTGTATGTAATTTAATATTTCTTTCATATTTGCACTAAGGTTGCATTATATTATATCACCGTCTCTTTTGCTATTCTCGTCGATTTCGATGTAGCAATAATTCATCGCATCCTAATTATTATCCTTAGTGTCAGTTAGAACTTTCCGTGGGAAATGTAACATTACGCGATGAGATGTATATTACGTAATTTAGGATGGGTTAAAGGGCCATGTCGAAGGTGCTCGACCCCTATATTCCGCAGGCCAATTGTATCCAACCGGGATCCAACCTATGATATCGATCTGACTGATTCCTCTTACCAATGATCTCTCTTCCAAATCAAATATTCACCGCTTCTAAGTAATTATACGAATAAATGGAAATGATAAATGGATGTACATATGCTAAAACTATTAAAAAATAATTAGCTTAATTCTAGAGATCTCTTTCCTTTTTAGACAGATTTAAAGCTGACTTTATCTTGTCACGTGTTTATGTAACGTGTGTATGCAATTCGGATTTACTTTTTATATCTTTCCGCTGATGCGCAAACATTATTTCGTGTTAACTAGAAAATATTTGCGTGTTGCGTTCACAGCCCATTGTAAGACGATTTGAGTTGATTTACGAAACGTACAAATGCTAGTTTCGATTGCAGTAAAAAAAAAATAATCGATGCAGCACTTACCTCGTGGAACCAGGTCAGTTTGATCGCTCTAGGATTCGCCCTGACGTTGCACTCGAAGTAAACATCGGAGCCCTCCTTGATGTCCTTCGGATTCAGGGTGGAGCCCATCTTCAAGCTGGCGATGGGCGCGACTGCAACCAGAATTAAAGTCGAATGTTAGATTATGCGACAAATATAAATCATTAGTGCAAAAAAATTTAACACATTTGTACCTTCATCGTAATTAAAAAATTTTCTATAATATATAAATATAATATCAAAATTATGTTAAATTATTATACTTTTATCTTGCAAATTCATATAGTAATTATAATAATGTTAATATTCATCATTTCATTGTATAATAATTATTATATTCCGATTTAAGAAATTACAGAAACAATTTTTTCTAGTTAAAAAAAAGCAATTTTTTTCTTTCACGGAGAGAATTATTTTAAAAATCAGAATTTGACCTTCAGATTTTATTTCTAAATCCGCATAATGGCACGGTACATTATTTCGAGCGTCATATTTAATAGTGAATGTCGAAATTTTTTAAATATCTTATGTGATATTCGAATAAAGTCGCGAAAAGGGTTGAACACGGCGAGCGTATCGATGTGTGATTGTCGGTAATTTATAAACGTCGCTCTTTGACACGGCATTATTTATGAACCAGTAGGTACCAATGCACGGCGCAATAATATTGCGGATATCAACGAGCCAAAATTTAATGAAATTTGTATTTTCGGCAGTGGAGTCAAAGCGGAAATGCGTCACATTAGCTTGGAATTTTATAGCACATGATTTTCTGACATAATGAAAATTGCTCACTATGTGGACTCTGGTGTAGTGTGTGTCTGTGCATAAAGTTAATTCGGGTATAATGATGATGATGATGGTGATAAAGGATGATGATTAGAGTACGGAATTTCATGTCGTTAACAATCAAATGTGTGCTTGTCCCAATATACATTTTCAAACTCACACATTCTCGAAATTAAATAATTTATTTGCGCTTGACTAATAGAACGGCTATGACAAAAGCAAATAAAAATAAATGAAAATAAATTAAAATAAATTAAAATTATAAAATAAATTTTATTTATTTAATTTTGCAATGTATTTGTTTAATAATATCATCCAACATTATTTTCGCAAAGGAGGAATGCAAAATTTCCACAATATAACTCTTCAATCTGTTTTAATTAATTATAATTACACACATATCATCAATAAATTAACATTGTAAACGCGTAAATTATTTGGTGCTTTCATTTAATATGAATGTACATTTCTTCGATGGCTTTTAAATTTGCTGCAATTAGTTTGAAATTATGCGTTAAATTTCGGATCTAATTTTGTAGCACCGTGGTCTGTTTACTTTCATTTACGATATGGGAAACACAAAGCTTTTAAATATAATTAATTACAAATTTATGTATATAAAACAATCATGAATCACTATGTATATTCGTACAGCACGATATTATATAACATTGTAAATAGAATCTCGATGCTTAATAAGGAAGAAATGAAGTAGCAGGTTCTTGAAATAAAGTTTCAAGTCCATAAGGCCATTTAATAATAAATCAAAGCGAACTGACTTAAAGCCCTAATGGTGTGAGCAAAACGCAAACGCAGATAGAACGCTCAGTAGGTATGATTAATAGTAATACCTTGATCAAAGCATTGAGATTTCAGTCAGTAAAGATCTTTCCATACATCGTAGCTAGGTGGAAAAATTTTTAATTCCAAGTCTTCAATCAACACAATATTAATGCGAAATTTCAACACATGATATAAAATTATTAATTTCTCTCTTCGTTTAACTTTAATTATTTATTAACCGAGAGAAAACGGTGTCGCTGTTTCAAACGCCTTGTATGCGATTGAAATATTTGCAACAGTGCAATCGCGTGTAATTTCAATTACAAGCATCATGTACGGTGCATTGCCGTCGCGCGTAACGCTGCGAAATAGTAATTGCATGTTAATTCAATCCATTTTCGCGCGAAAAACGACCAATGAGAATCGCGAGGATGCTCGTCGATAAACAAAGTGGCATTGATTTCCGAGCGGCGAACGTTTCGCGCGCGAAATTCACAACAATATGCGCGCGGGCGCGTTCATCTTTCTCTCGCAATATTTTTCTTCGATTTTCCGTGTGAGTATCGATTCGCGAAAATGAGGAAAAAAATATTATTCTTTTCAAGTGAGCAAGCAACTTTTAATTAACGTGACTTTAATAAAAGCGCGGGTTATATCGACGGGAAAATCGATGGTCGCGTACCGCAAAAACGCAAAGTCTTTCGCGTCAGAGAAATCAACGAGAAAGTACGAATAGTGCTTTCATTTCCTTCACCGTCGTCTGAGATAATCGAAAAAATATATGCCGTGTGATTGTACTGGTTTACATTGAACTTTCGATTGCAACAAGAAATTGAACGCTGAAATGAAATGCTGGAAACTTTGACAGGAGAAAATTTGAAAAATTAAAATAAAATTAAATATGCGTTAATCTCCTGTATTCACTCACATTTTTGAATAACAAATACAAACAAGGAATATAAATCATCACAAATTGCAATATATATCAAAAGTAATGTTTGCTCGAGAATATCCTTGAAAATAAATAATTCTACTTGAAAGAAGAAACAAATATCACGTTAAGACGATGGGAAGACGTCGTCTACGCTTTTCCAAATAGTTTCCGACGTTAATCGCGGTGGATTTCATCCCAACTCGTTTGCTTGCCAGGCTCTAAATGCGTCTCGCGTAGTTAGTTTCCACGCTGTCGCGAATCTGCGCGCGGAAACGGAAGGGGCGGGGAACACAAGTTAGTACGAGACGAGACGGGAGACAATCGTCGACGGAGCGGAAAACACGACTTATGATAAAACTACCCGATAAATTCGCTGAATATAGGTAACGCGTCGTGCAATTCGCATACGCAGTTCAAGATCTTAATTTTGTTTTACATTGGTATGTGGATAACTTTTCAGATAAAATAAATTCATAGTAAATCTTCAACTTGAAATGACCTATGTGAAATTACAAATAAAAAAGGACATTTTCGCAGAACATTTTATGCAATAAAATCGTGTAATAAAATATAAGTTTAGTTTTTATAATAAAAACTAGCAATTTTAATCTTTCAAATCTCAATAATTTTTCTAGTTTCTAAACTCAAGTATAGCGTCTCATGTTATCAAAATGTAAATAACGTGTTATGAATAAGAAATGGATTATTTAAGTATTAAAAGCCGAAGCAAAATTTCGAATTATAAATTCTTATGATGATCTACATTTGCTATTTCGCCGCGCGACTCTGCGGGGTCGCGTCTTCGTAGCACAAAATCTACGATCGTGTTGCGCGTGGTGGATTATAATACAGCCGCACGATATTGTGATATTCATATCGCAAGCCGCTGATTACGTCGGCAAACACGATCATCGCAGCTTCCGAGAACGTAGCTCTCACGCGCGAGTACGGTATAATCTCGAAATAAATCTTACATCGGCATATAGCGGCTCCCCGGATTGTGCGAACGCGCATAGTATGCGTTCAATATAAACGCACGTGTGTGCGGCGACACACAATATGCGTCCTGATGGTGCATCCGCACTCTGAAATTCGCGGAATACATACGTACGTTCGTGAAACCGCATCCGCAACCCGCTCTTTCTCTCGCGGGAATGCTCCCTTGCCATATACATTCGAACGCTTAAGCTGCGCGTTTAATCTTTTTCAATAGCAATCCTTTATTTATAAAAAAATGTACGACCTCGCATGAATCTTTTTATAAACATCCAAATAATTAAAAAAAATTTTTTGAGCGCGTTATTTCTGAAATTTAAATTTTAGATTTTTTTCATCTTTAATCATGCAATGTTATAAAAAAAAGTTTTTTTTTTTAATTTTACTATTCTGTGTGTAGGTAATTTATTTTGTGCTAATGCAGCATGTTGCCAAAAAATCACGTTCCATATAAATGGGCATTGATTTATTGCCTGTTAAAGTACGAATGTTTAATTAATTGAAGTAGATGTATTCTGTAATCGCATACGACAGCGCGAAATTTCAGCGGTGCGAATTTTTTCAGAGACTTTTTTATGCCATCCCTCTTTATTTCTCTCTTTTTCTCCCTTTCGGGCAGGCCTATTAATATTATTTTACAAAATTGATTTTTAAGCGGCACTCGCCGGTACGTGCATTGTATTTTGCGCGCTGTTCCAGCCGAGCGAAATTGGCCGGATGATTGGTTAGCGGTTTCCGATCGCACTCGCGATCGCGCCTCGATGGAACCTCGCAAAATCGACACGACGCGAGCAATTATCGTGCCGCGTCAGGCATTTTCATTTCTACGGGAACACTCAAATCGCGACACTTTTTTTTACGCTGGACACGCGTTGCATATCCGGTTTCGCGCGAACGATACGATCTATATGTTGAGAATTGCCCCGTTCCCCGTATTATTCTACTACACCTTTGGGATACCTTCAATAATAGCGCACTGCTGAAAATATGAAAAACGGTAGTGCACTCTCTCTGAATAGGAAATTTCATACCAATTGGTTCTCTTGCATGATTGATTCTCTTCTCGCGCGATACATTAATAACATACAGGACATTTCTGAATAATAGGAACAAATTCTATTTATAAGATAAACAACAAATATGATTTTGTTGTTGATTTTACAGAAATAGTTTCTAAATGATAAAAGATGAAAAATAAATATAGAGATGCACAAAAAATAATCCATTTTTTCCTAGCAATCAAAAAAAAAAAAGATCGATGATATACATATATTGATACAATATATTGATACAAATAAAAACAACTCGCCAGGCGAGATTTTAATTAAAATCGAACTTATCTTTCACACTATTCATTTGCTTCAATTACAATTTTTCAATCTAAATATATAAAAAACCGTAGACTATAGTGAATTTCGCAATGTTCAAGAATACGAAGCCATCTATAGCAGTCTCCAATGTTATCTACTCGATAATGAAACTCTTTTCTCTTCGGCGATCGGTAGATAACGGCAGTCCATTGTGAGCGGCATCTCGAGCGATCGCCCTAGAATAAAGCTTGGCACTCGGCATCGCGACCATTGTTCGTTCTGGACACCCCGTGGAGGTCGC